GGGTTGGGACACCCGTGGGACCCCAAATCCCCCCCAGGGACCCCAAATCCCCCCAGGGTCCCCAAATTCCTCCAAGGTTCCCAAATCCCCCCAGGGTCCCAAATCCCCCCAGGGTCCCCAAATCCCTCCAGGGTCCCCAGAGCCCCCAAATCCCCCCAGGGCTCGGGCTCAGCCTCACGTGAGCTCCAGGCTCGGGTTTTTGGGGAGGATTCCGAAGGTTTTGGGTTTGTCCCCAAGGGGGGAGGCGGTGACATCCCAGAGCAGCACAAGGATGTCCCCTCTTTGTGGCCACCAGCAGCTGTCCCCTGTCCCCTCCTTGTGGCCATTTCTGTCTCCCGGGATTTCTGTTCGCCTGGAATTTTAATTCCCTAGATTTCTCTTTCCCGGGAATTCCGTTTTCCCTGGAATTCCTTTTCTCGGGACTTCTGTTCCCCTGGAATTCTGTCTCCCGAGATTTCTGTTTTCCGGGGATTTCTGTTTTCCCGGAGTTTCTGTTCCCCTGGAATTCTGTTTTCCTGGAATTCTGTTTCCTTGGAATTCTATTTCCCTGGAATTCTGCTGAATGAACCCCAAAACCCGAGCCAGTGCCAAAGCCTGAATCACCCCAAGGCCGAAGCAGCCCCAAAACTGAATCACCCCAAACCTGAATCACCCCAAACCAACCCCAAACCTGAATCACCCCAAAGCCGAGCCGGCCCCAAACCTCCTCCCCTTTTCCCAAAAGGCCAACCCTGACTCATCGGGGCCTTTGGACACCGCAGAGGCTCCAAACAGGAAACGAAGCCGAGGGAAAAATTTTTGGGGAAGGTCCAAAGGAGCCTAAATTGGAGCAGGTTGGGTTAATGGCCCCATTCGGGCGCTTAATGAGGTGTTTTAATTAGGGCCGGGGTTCCTGGAGTTCAGCCGCGTTCCTGAAGCGTCCCTGGGCACAAACACCAGGCCCTGTCCCGGGATTTGGGGATTTTGGGGTGCGTTTTTGGGGTAAAGCACCCCCAGATCTGATCAGAAGGAGGTTTTAAATTTTTTTTTAATTTTTAAAAATTTTTTTGTGAAGGTTTTTTGTGGTGGTTTTTTTTTGGGATTTGTTGGGTTTTGGGATTATTCAGTTCTGGCGTTCTGCACTTGTTCCTGAGCCCTGAGGGTTGGGACACCCGTGGGACTCCAAATCCCCCCAGGGACCCCAAATTCCCTCAGGTCCCCAAATCCCCTCAGGGTCCCCAAATTCCCCCACAGTCCTAAATCCTCCCAGAGCCCCCAAATCCCCCCAGGGTCCCCAAATTCCCTCAGGTCCCCAAATCCCCTCAGGGTCCCCAGATCAGCCCTGAGGGCTAAATCCTCCCAGAGCCCCCAAATCCCCCCAGGGTCCCCAAATTCCCTCAGGTCCCCAAATCCCCTCAGGGTCCCCAGATCCTCCCAAGGTCCCCAAATCCCCCCAGGATCCCAAATCCCTCCAGGGACCCCAAATCCTCCTCAGGTCCCCAAATCCCCTCAGAGCCCCCAAATCCCCTCCGGGTCCCCAGATCCCCCCGGGGTCCCCAAATCCCCCCAGGGTCCAAAATCCCCCAGAATCCCAAATTCCCTCAGGTCCCCAAATCCCCCCAGGGTTCCCAAATTCCTCCAAGGTTCCCAAATCCCCCCAGGGTCCCCAAATCCCTCCAGGGTCCCCAGAGCCCCCAAATCCCCCCAGGGCTCGGGCTCAGCCTCACGTAAGCTCCGGGCTCGGGTTTTTGGGGAGGATTCCGAAGGTTTTGGGTTTGTCCCCAAGGGGGGAGGCGGTGACATCCCAGAGCAGCACAAGGATGTCCCCTCTTTGTGGCCACCAGCAGCTGTCCCCTGTCCCCTCCTTGTGGCCATTTCTGTCTCCCGGGATTTCTGTTCGCCTGGAATTTTAATTCCCTAGATTTCTCTTTCCCGGGAATTCCGTTTTCCCTGGAATTCCTTTTCTCGGGACTTCTGTTCCCCTGGAATTCTGTCTCCCGAGATTTCTGTTTTCCGGGGATTTCTGTTTTCCCGGAGTTTCTGTTCCCCTGGAATTCTGTTTTCCTGGAATTCTGTTTCCTTGGAATTCTATTTCCCTGGAATTCTGTTTTCTTGGAATTCTGTTTCCTTGGAATTCTGTCTCCCGGGATTTCTGTTTTCCCGGGATTTCTGTTCCCCTGGAATTCTGTTTTCCTGGAATTCTGTTTCCTTGGAATTCTATTTCCCTGGAATTCTGTTTTCTTGGAATTCTGTTTTCCTGGAATTCTGATTCCCAGGAATTCTGATTTCCAGGAATTCTGTTCCCCTGGAATTCTGTCTCCCGGGATTTCGGTTTTCCCGGGATTTCTGTTTCCCTGGAGCCTCCCTCCCACAAACATTCCCGAATTTCGGATCTGCCGCTCCCTCTCCCTCCGCAGATCCCGGCGCAGCTCCCCAAAATTTGGGGCGTTGGGTTTGGCTTCGGCACCGAACCCCCGCGGGGGTGACAGAGCCGGAACTGCCGGCATTAATTACTTAATTAATCCTCAAATCCAATTAGGAGATTTTCATCCGGGTGCCTCCGAGATAAGAGATCCCGGAGCCGCCCGGGGCTGCCCGCGGGAGGCGCGGAGCGCTTCCAGAAGGTTCGGGAAAGCGACGGACCCGGGCCAGCTCCGCTCCCGCCCCGGGAAATCCTTGGGGCGGATTTGGGGCGGATTTGGGGCCGGGGAAAAACGGAGAGCGGCTGGAGCGGGGAAGGAGATCCCGAAAGCCGGAATGTCCCCGAGACGGCGGGGACAGCGGCGCTGGGCTCTGCCAGGGCGGGGACAGCGCGGGGACAACGAGGGGACATTGAGGGGACACAGCCAGGAACACAGCCGGGGACATCGTGGGGATATCGTGGGGACAGCGCGGGGACATTGAGGGGACACAGCCAGGGACAGCGCGGGGACAACGAGGGGACACAGCCAGGGACACAGCCGGGGACAGCGAGGGGACATCGTGGGGACACAGCCAGGAACATCGTGGGGACATTGAGGGGACACAGCCAGGGACAGCGCGGGGACAACGAGGGGACAGCGCGGGGACAGTGCAGGGACAGTGGGGGGACAATGCGGGGACACAGTCAGGGACAGCGCAGGGACATCGTGGGGACATCGCGGGGACAGCGGGGGAACATTGAGGGGACACAGCCAGGGACAGCGCGGGGACAGTGCAGGGACAGTGGGGGGACAATGCGGGGACACAGTCAGGGACAGTGCAGGGACAGCGTGGGGACAGCGTGGGGACAGCGGGGGAACATTGAGGGGACACAGCCAGGAGCAGCGCGGGGAGATCGTGGGGACATCGTGGGGACAGTGCGGGGACACAGTCGGGGATATCGTGGGGACATCGCGGGGACATCGCGGGGACACAGCCGGGCTTCTCCTCGCAGCTGCCGCTCCCGGTTTGTCCCCTCTCGGTGACACCGCCCGGGGACCTGCGGCGGTGCCCCCCCCTCACCCCGGGCACCGACCCCGCAGCTGGAGCGCCCCGAGAGCCCCGGGAGGGAACCGGGGGTGTCCCCAAGTGCCACCCTCAAGGTGGCCCCAGCCCTGCCCGGTGCCCCCCGAGCGGGGTCGGAGCCCCGGAGCTGCTGCGGAGCCCCGGCCGGGGGCACCGGGAGGTGCCGGAGGTTCCGGGGACCCCCGGAGGAGCCCCCGGAGCTGCGGGAGCGGGGTCCTGCCCTCGGGTCGCTGTCGCGGGTCGCGGCCGCCACCGCGCTGCGGGGACCGGGACTGTCCCGGGCCGCGGGGACCGGCGGTGGCGGTGTCCCGAGCGGGGGTGACAGCGTGACAGGGGCGGGGTCACCTCCCCCGGCCCCCGGGACAGAGCCACGGCTCGGTGCCACCCCCAGGATGTGCCACCCCCCGAGGAGGGACACCCCAGGACAGGGACAGGACCCCCTGGATGTGCCACCCCCAGGATGTGCCACCCCCTGAGCAGGGACACCTTTGCAAAGGGACAGGACCCCCCAGGAGGTGCCACCCCCCTGGATGTCACCCCCCTGGATGTGTCACCTCCTGAAAAAGGGACAGGACCCCCTGGATGTGCCCCCCAGGACATGTGCCACCCCCTGAGCAGGGACACCTTTGCAAAGGGACAGGACCCCCCAGGAGGTGCCACCCCCCTGGATGTCACCCCACAGCCCCCCCTGCCCTCCCCGCGCCCCCTTTTCCCCTCCCCCGGGTCCCCCCAGCCCCTTCCCCCGTCAGGAGCTCCCCGGGATGGCTGAGCCAGGAACTGAGGGTGCGCGAAAGTGGCAGAAAAAAAGGAAGGAAATGGAAATGAAGAGAAGAAAACGTCCCTGGGGGGTGGGGACAGACCCAGAGCCCCCTCGGAATCCACCTGGGGTGACCCCCCCAAACCACCAGCACACGGGGGGGGCTGTGCTGGCTCTGGGTCACCCCAAAATCTGAGGCACGCAGGGAAGATGTGACCCCTGTGCCCACCCAGCCACTGCCCATCCCTGGGACCCCCATTCCCCTGGAAATCACATCATGGGAACCCCATTCCTTATGTCCCACCTCGCCTGGGACCCCCATCCCAGCACTGACATTCCCCAGGATCTCCATGGCCCAGCACCCCATTCCCAAGGAACCCTCGCCTGTTCATTCCATCCCCTGAAATCTCCCTTCCCCCAGGACCCTGACTCTCCCAGGACCCCCATTCCCACGGGACCCCCCATTTCCCCTGCACCCCATCCTTGGCAAACCCATGCCATGACCCCAAATCCCTGGAGCCCACGTTCCCCTGGCACTCCCACCCCTGAATCCCCCCAGCCCTGGGGTCCCCCATTCCCATTGCACCCCCATCCCTGCTGACTCCCCCTCCTCAGGACTCCTATTCCCAGGGACCCCATCCCTGGCACTCCCCATTCCCCTGGACACCCATCCCTGCCTCCCCAAACCCCCTGACCCCCCACTCCTGGGAACCCCAAATCTCACCTTGTCCCACCCAGCCTCATCCCCACCCTGCCCCCACCGTGTCCCACCCCCACCATGTGGGACGAGATGTAAATTCTCTTCCTTCCCCTTTATCTCAAGAGCCACCAGGCTGGGGACAGGTGGCCCTGGCAGCGAGTGACAGCCAGTGCACATGGCTGGGGACAGCGGGATGGCCGGGAAGGTGGCACTGCTCCTGTGGGGTGAGTGCCCCGGGCACGGACCTGACAGCCCAGGGATGGGGAGGGGAGGGGGCACAGGGGGGCTGCGGGGTCCCCTGAGGTCCCCAAGGCCAGCAGAGCCAGTGGGGGACAGAGCCAGTGTCCCCCAGTGTGACTGGAGTGGCCCTGGGGACAGGGATGGGGGACAGGAATGGGAGAAAGGAATGGGGGACAGGGATTTGGGGACAGAGGTTTGGGGACAGGGATTTGGGGACAGGAATGTGGGGTTTGGCACCTTGGGGCTGGGGCAGCTGTGGGGACAGGGGGATGCAGGGACAGGGACAAGGGGACAAGCACCATGGGGATGTGGCCGTGGGGCTGGCAGGGGTGACCTGTCCCAGCACAGGGTGACCGTGGTGTCCCCACCCCCGAGGTGTCCGTGCCACCGGAACGTGGCGCGTGGGCGGCTGTGACAGAGCTGTCCCCTGGGAGCCTCCCCAGACCTGCTGGGGACAGTCCCCGAGCACTTTCCCACAAGAACTGCTGTCCCCATGGGGACAGCTCGGGGACAGCCCCCACACCCCGTGTCCCCGTGCTGCTGTCCCCACAGTGCCACCCCCACTGAGCTGACCTGCCAGGGCTCGGGGACAGCCGGTGCCACCACCTGGTACAAGGACAAGCAGCGCTGGTGGCAGAAGAGAGGTGACCGCCTCAGTGTCACCGAGAGTGGCACCTACTACTGTTACAGGCCCGGCACCGGGCACAGCCCCTCTGTGACAGTCTCAAACGGTGAGGGGGGTTTGGGTGTCCCCAGCCTGGCACCCGCGGGGACCCCGAGGGCTCTGGGTGGGCTCTGCTCCATGGTCACCTCCTGTGTGACCAGAGCCCGTCCCCTGCTCCGGGGACATCCAAAGCATCCCAGTGTGGGGAGCCCCGTGTCGGAACTGGGGACCCCTGGTGCGCTGGGTGTGACCCAGTGGGGGGGTCCCAGTGCCATCGGGTGTGACAGGTCCCCTCTGTCCCCCAGACTGGCTGGTGCTGCAGGTGCCAGCGCGGGCGCTGCTGGAGGGGGACACGCTGACACTGCGCTGCCGCGGCTCTTGGAACAGAACGGTCAAATTTGTGCTCTTCTACCACGAGGGGAAGGAACTGGGGGGGCTCCGCGATGGCACCGAGCTGTCCCTGTCCCCCCTGCAGCTGAGCCACCGCGGCCACTACCGCTGCAGGGGCTTGGTGGGATCCGGGAACGTGAGGAAGAGCAGCGCCCGGCTCCGCGTCACGGTGCGCAGTGAGTGCGGGGACGGGCTCGGAGACCCGCAGGGTCCCCTGCCTGGGGACCCCCATCACTGCCTGGGGACCCCCATCACTGCCTGGGGACCCCCAGCCCTCCCTGACACGTTTCCGGGGTCCCCCAGCCCTGCCTTGCTGCCCCCAGCCCTCCCCGATTCCTTCCTCGCGTTCCCCCCATCACTGTCCCGATCTCCCCCTCCTTCCCCGGGTCTCACCCCCGGTCCCCCCGCTCCTTCCTCGGGTCCCTCCCCGGGTCCCCCAGCCCTGCCTGGGGACCCCCAGCCCACCCTGACCCCATCCCCGGCTCTCCCCATCGCTGCCCGGGTCCCTCCCCAGCTCCTTCCATCCTTCCCCGGGTCCCCCCTCCGTGCCCCGGGTCCCCCCAGCCCTTTCCCGGGTCCCTGCCCTGGCACACCAGGTGCACACAGGTGACAACGTGACCCTGCGCTGCTCGGTGCAGGTGGGCTCAGCCCCTGTCACCTTCACCTGGCTGCACAACGGGCAGGAGCTGGCCCGGGGTCCCCTCCTGCAGCTGGGGGACATCGATGTGGGACATTCGGGCACCTACCAGTGCGTGGCCACCAACCAGCTGGGACAGGACGGGCACCGCGTGTTCCGGGCACTCAGCCCAGAGCTGGCCCTGGAGGTGACAGCGTGGGGACACGGGCACACAGGTGACGCCGCTCGGGGACACTGTGGGGGCTCAGAACCCCGGGTTTGTCCCCGCTCTGTCCTTGGTGACACAGAAGGGACAAGGCACAGGTGGCATCACCCCGGGTCACCGTGGGGGAGCAGCACCCCCGGGTGACCCCAAAGTGTCCCCTCTGTCCCCAGCAGTGGCCGCAGGGGTTGGCAGCTCCCTCCTGGCCCTGGTCCTGCTCGTGGGTGCCATCGTGGGCTGGCAGTGCCACCGCCGGGGTGGGTGACAATGGGGACAGTGGGGACAAAGGGGACAGTGGGGACAAAGGGGACAATGGGGACAAATGGGACAAAGGGGACAAAGGGGACAGTGGGGACAGTGGGGACAGTGGGGACAAAGGGGACAATGGGGACAGTGGGGACAATGGGGACAAAGGGGACAATGGGGACAGCGGGGTGGCACCCACAGACTCTGAACTGAGCCCGTGGTGACCCCGGCTGAGGCTCCTGGGGGGCTTGGGGACATCTGGGGACATCCCAGGAGGATTTGGGGGGGTCCTTGGGGGTTTTGGGGTCTGGGGGAATTTGGGATTTCAAGCATTTTTTTCCGGGTATTTTGGGGCTTTTTGTGTGTCTGGGGGAGGTTGGGATTTTAGGGATTTTTTAGGTGTTTTGGGGGTTCTGGGCAGTTTTGGGATTTTGGGATTTTTTGGGGGGTTTTGGGACTTTTGGGGGGTTTAGGATTTTTGGATTTTTTGGGGTATTTTGTGGATTTTTTGGGCTCCTGGGTGGGTTTGGGATTTCAGGATTTTTTTGGGGAATTTTGGGACATTTTTGGAGCTTTGGGATTTCAGGGTTGTTTTGGGAATTCTGGGACATTTTGGGGGTTTCCAGGGGAGGATTTTGGGGTCCCCTGGCGCTGTCCCCACCCCATTGTCACCCCCTTGTCACCCCTTCCCCCGCAGCCCCCAGGACCCCCGAGGCCAGGTGAGTGCGGGAGGGGCCCGGGGGTGTCCCCTTGTCCCCAAACGCCACCTCGAGGCCACCCCGCTGTCGCCGTTGTCCCCGCAGGACCCCCGCGGTGCCCCCCGAGGGGGGCGAGGTGCTCTACACCCACGTGGTGCCCACGGCGAGGGCGGCGGGTGAGCGGGGACAGCGCGTGGCACCGGGGGTGGCACCGGGGGTGGCACCGGGGTCCTAAATGCCACCCCCAGGGAGCTGCTGGGTCCCCAAATGCCACCCAGGGGACATCGGTGACATGGATGGGAACGTGCTGTGACAGTGGGTGGCACTGGGGGTGGCACTGAGGGACACCGGGTGGCACTGGGGTGGCATTTGTTGGCACTGGGTGAAACAGGGAACACTGGAGGACAGCGAGTGGCACTGGGGGTGGCACTGGGTGGCACTGGGGGACACTGGGTGGCACTGGGTGGCATTTGTTGGTACTGGGGGTGGCACTGGGGAGCATTGGGTGGCACTGGGGATGGCACTGGGGGACACTGGGGGACACTGGGGGTGGCACTGGGGGACACTGGGTGGCACTGGGTGGCACTGGGGGACACTGGGTGGCACTTGTTGGCACTGGGAGTGGCATTGGGGGTGGCACTGGGTGGCATTGGGGGACACTGGGTGAAACTGGGAACACTGGGGGACAGCGAGTGGCAACGGGGGTGGCACTGGGGGACACAGGGTGACACTGGGTGGCATTGGGTGACACTGGGGGACACTGGGTGGCACTGGGTGGCATTTGTTGGCACTGGGGGGGGCACTGGGTGGCACTGGGTGACACTGGGTGGCACTGGGGGTGGCACTGGGTGGCACTGCAGGTGGCACAGGATCCCCAAATGCCACCCAGGAGACAGAGGAGCAGTGCAGGCACGGGGACGTGGCACCCCTGGGTGGCACTGGGTGGCACCGGTGTCTCCCGTAGGGTCCCCAGGCGCCACCGCCGAGGTCCCCCAGGTGACCTACGCGGAGCTGCCGGGACCGCGGTGGCACCCGGGGGACAGCGGTGACTACGAGAACGTGCTGTGACACCGGGGTGGCACCGGGGGTGGCGCCGGGTCCCCAAATGCCACCCAGGGACAGCAGTGACATCGATGGGAACGTGCTGTGGCACCGGGGTGGCACTGGGGACAGGGACACGCGTGTGTCCCCTGATCCTGTGGGTGCCACCCTGCCCGTGGCCACCGGGACCTGGCCCTGTCCCCACGCTGGGGCCACCAGGAGCTGTCCCTGTCCCTGTCCCTGTCCCTGTCCCTGTCCCTGTCCCTGTCCCTGTCCCCTCCCCGTGGCCACCGTCCCCCTGTCCCTTTGTGCCACAGGAATTTGGAGCAATTCCAAGAACGAGCCCAGAGTGCCCCCGGGTGGCCCAGGGGGGTTGGGGACAGCCCGGGGGGGTTGGGGACAGCCCCGAGGTCCCCGGGGGTCCCGGGAGCGGAGCCCCCCGGGGAGGGGGATGGGGGATGGGGGCAGGAGGGGCTGAGCTTTGATTCCGTCTCCTTTGCTGTCTTCATGGGCAAGAAATTCAGCAAGAAATTCAATAATAAATTCAGCAAGAAATTCAATAATAAATTCAATAATAAATCTCGGCCGCCGACTCCGCCAAGGTGAGCCCCCCAAAAGCCCGTGAGCGCCGCGCGGGGCCGCGCCGGGCCCTGCTGACCCCGTGGCCAGGGCTCGCTCTTCTCCTCGCAGGAGAGGTTCTTCCAGGAGCTCTTCGAGGGCGAGCTGGCGGCGCAGGCGGCGGCCGAGTTCCAGGAGGCCATGCAGGAGCTGGCCCGCCAGGAGCCCCAGCTGGTGGAGCAGTTCCAGAAGCTCTCGGAGGCTGCCGGCAAAGTCGGTGGGTGGGCTGGGCCCGGGGGGGGTCTCGAGCCTGGGGTGGGCGTCGTGGTTATCCCCCATCCCCACCCCAGCTGGGATTGTTCCTCCCTTTGGGGTCGGGGGCAGCACCCCAGCAGGATCCTGCATAGTTCCCATTATTTCCCACCCCATTCCCACCCCATTCCCATTCCCATTCCCTCTACCACCCCCAGTCCCACCCCATTCCCACTCCCATTCCCAATCCCATTTTCCCGTTCCCATTCCGTTCCCGTTCTCGTTCCCGTTCCGGGTTTTCCAGGGGGCGTGGCCAGCACCCTGCAGAAGGATTTTAAACCTAAAGGTCTTGAACCACGACAAGACAGAAGGAGGATTTCTCTTAAATTGCTTTCCACTGTTTTATTTTTTTCCCCATAGGTTCTCCCACGAGGCTGGGAAGGACCATTCCCATTCCCACCCCATCCCACCCCATCCCATTCCCATTCCCATTCCCGTTCCCCGCAGGCAGCGACGCGGCCTCGCAGCAGGAATTCACCTCCTGCCTCAAGGAGACCCTGAGCGGGCTGGCCAAGAACGCCAATGACCTGCAGGTACTCGCTGCCAGCCCCTCCCGGGGGGCTCCCGGGGCTCTCCCGGGGGTCCCGGGGGGCTCACGGCGCCGGGGGTCCCGCAGAACTCCCCGGGCTCGGAGGAGGAGCTGGCCAAGGCCCTGGAGGGGCTGGGGCTGGACGAGGGCGGCGGCGACGGCGTCCTGCCCGTCATGCGCAGCATCATGGAGTCCCTGCTGTCCAAGGACGTGCTCTACCCCTCCCTCAAGGAGATCACCGAGAAGGTGGGACCCCAAAAACCGGGAGGAACCCCAAAAACAGGGAGGGCACTCCAAAAAACCTGAGGGGGTCCTCAAAATCCAGGAGGGATTAGCGGGAAACTCAGGGGTGGCATGGGGACATCATGGAGTCCCTGCTGTCCAAGGACGTGCTCTACCCCTCCCTCCAGAGAAGGTGGGACCCCAAAAAGTGGGGAGGGGGACCCCAAAATCCAGCAGGAACCCCAGAAATGGGGAGGGAACCCCAAAAACCCTGGGGGGGTCCCCAAAATCCTGGAGGGATTAGTGGGAAATTCAGGGGTGACATGGGGACATCATGGACTATTGTTCAAGGATGTGCTCTACCCTTCTCTCAAGGAGATCACTGAGAAGGTGGGACCCCAAAAACTGGGAGGAACCCCCAAAACCCTGAGGGGGCTCCCCAAAATCCTGGAGGGATTAGTGGGAAATTCAGGGGTGACATGGGGACATCATGGACTATTGTTCAAGGATGTGCTCTACCCTTCTCTCAAGGAGATCACTGAGAAGGTGGGACCCCAAAAACTGGGAGGAACCCCCAAAACCCTGAGGGGGCTCCCCAAAATCCTGGAGGGATTAGTGGGAAACTCAGGGGTGGCATGGGGACATCATGGAGTCCCTGCTGTCCAAGGACGTGCTCTCTCCCTGATCCCCTCTGGGGTCTGTCCCTGTCATCCCCAGGGCTGTAGTGGGACATTTCCCCTTTTTCTCTGGGATATCGGGGGTGCCATGGGGGATTTGGGGGTGCCACGGGGGATTTGGGGGTCCCTCAATGTCCCCTGGGTGTCCCCAGTACCCGGAGTGGCTGCGGCAGCACGAGGGCTCGCTGTCCCTGGAGCAGCGGGCACGGTTCAGGGCACTGAGGGGCTGGGATTGGCTGGGATTTGGGGGTGCTATGGGGGATTTGGGAGTCCCCACGGTGTTCCCACAGTGTCCCCTGGGTGTCCCCAGTACCCGGAGTGGCTGCGGCAGCACGAGGGCTCCCTGTCCCCGGAGCAGCGGGCGCGGTTCGGGGTGCAGCAGGTGCTGAGGGGCTGGGATTGGCTGGGATGGGCTGGGATTTGGGGGTCCCTGCAGTGACCCCACTGTCCCCACGGTGTCCCCCGGGTGTCCCCAGTACCCGGAGTGGCTGCGGCAGCACGAGGGGTCCCTGTCCCCGGAGCAGCGGGCGCGGTTCGGGGTGCAGCAGGTGCTGAGGGGCTGGGATTGGCTGGGATGGGCTGGGATTTGGGGGTCCCTGCAGTGACCCCACTGTCCCCACGGTGTCCCCCGGGTGTCCCCAGTACCCGGAGTGGCTGCGGCAGCACGAGGGGTCCCTGTCCCCGGAGCAGCGGGCGCGGTTCGGGGCGCAGCAGGTGCTGATGCTGCGGATCTGCGCCGAGCTGGAGCGGGAGCGGCCCGAGGAGCCCGAGGGGCAGCGCCGGGAGCGCTTCGAGACCCTGCTGGACCTGATGCAGCAGGTGCGGCCTGGTGGCACCCTGACCCCCCCGTGTCACCCCTGTGTCACCCCTGTGTCACCCCTGTGTCCCCGGGTCCCCTCCGTGTCCCCTCCGTGTCAGCCCCGTGTCCCTCTGTGCCCTCCGTGTCCCTGTGTCCCCTCTATGTCAGCCCCTTGTCCCTCTGTCCTCCCCCGTGTCCCTGTGTCCCCTCTGTGTCCCCTCTGTGTCCCCTCCTTGTCACCCCCATGTCACCCCCGTGTCCCTCTGTGCCCTCCATGTCACCCCCGTGTCCCCTCCATGTCAACCCCGTGTCACCCCTGTGTCCCCGGGTCCCCTCCATGTTACTTCTGTGTCACTCTGTGCCCCCCGTGTCGCCCCTGTGTCCCCTCCGTGTCACCCCCGTGTCCCTCTGTGCCCTCCATGTCACCCCTGTGTCCCCTCCATGTCAACCCCGTGTCACCCCTGTGTCCCCGGGTCCCCTCCGTGTCCCCTCCGTGTCAGCCCCGTGTCCCTCTGTGCCCTCCGTGTCCCTGTGTCCCCTCTATGTCAGCCCCTTGTCCCTCTGTCCTCCCCCGTGTCCCTGTGTCCCCTCTGTGTCCCCTCCTTGTCACCCCCATGTCACCCCCGTGTCCCTCTGTGCCCTCCATGTCACCCCTGTGTCCCCTCCATGTCAACCCCGTGTCACCCCTGTGTCCCCGGGTCCCCTCCATGTCACTTCCGTGTCCCTCTGTGCCCACTGTGTCCCTGTGTCCCCTCTATGTCAGCCCCTTGTCCCTCTGTCCTCCCCCGTGTGTGTCCCTGTGTCCCCTCTGTGTCACCCCCGTGTCCCTCTGTGCCCACTGTGTCCCTGTGTCCCCTCCGTGTCACCCCCGTGTCCCTCTGTGCCCACTGTGTCCCTGTGTCCCCTCTGTGTCACCCCCGTGTCCCTCTGTGCCCACTGTGTCCCTGTGTCCCCTCCGTGTCACCCCCGTGTCCCTCTGTGCCCACTGTGTCCCTGTGTCCCCTTCGTGTCACCCCTGTGTCCCCTCCGTGTCTGTCTGTGCCCTCCGTGTCACCCCCGTGTCCCTCTGTCCTCCCCCCGTGTCCCCTCCATGTCCCCTCTGTGTCCCTGCCATCTCCCTCTGCCCCTTCACGTCCCTCTGTCCCCTCCATGTCCCCCCATGTCCCTCTGTCCCTTCTGTGTCCCCATGTCCCCGTGTCCCCTCTGTCCCCCCCATGTCACCCCCGTGTCCCTCTGTCCCCTCTGTCCCCCCCATGTCCCCGTGTCCCCTCTGTCCCCTCACAGCTGCAGGACCTGGGCCACCCCCCCAAGGAGCTGGCAGGGGACACGGTGAGTGTTTGGGGACACCCCTGAAGGGGTTTGGGGTCACCCAGAGGGTTTGGGGTGGTCCTAAAGAATGGGGGGACCCCAGAGGATTTGGGGTGACCTCATGGGATTGGGGAGATCCCGTTAAAATTGGGGTGACCTCACAGATTTGGGGTGACCCCATAGAACTGCGGGGACCCCAAAAGATCTGGGGTGACCTCATAGAGTTTGGGGTAATCCTGTAGATTTGAGGAGATCCCATCGAATTGGGATGACTCCAGAAGATTTGGGGTGACCCCACAGGTTTGGGGTGACTCCATAGATTTGGAGTGACTCGAAAAGATCTGGGGTGGTCCAGTAGATTTGGGGTGACCCCATACATTTGGGGTGACCCCATAGATTTGGGGTGACCCCATAGATTTAGGGTGATCCCATACATTTGGGGTGACTCCATAGAATTGGAATGACTCCAAAAGATTTGGGGTGATCCCATACATTTGGGGTTCCCCCCATGGCTTTGGGGTCTCCCCAGGCTTTGGGGTCTCCCCAGGCTTTGGGGTCTCCCCAGGCTTTGGGGTTTCCATGGCTTTGGGGTCTCCCCAGGCTTTGGGGCATTGAGGAGATCCCATCGAATTGGGATGACTCCAGAAGATTTGGGGTGACCCCACAGGTTTGGGGTGACTCCATAGATTTGGAGTGACTCGAAAAGATCTGGGGTGGTCCAGTAGATTTGGGGTGACCCCATACATTTGGGGTGACCCCATAGATTTGGGGTGACCCCATAGATTTAGGGTTGATCCCATACATTTGGGGTGACTCCATAGAATTGGAATGACTCCAGAAGATTTGGGGTGATCCCATACATTTGGGGTTCCCCCCATGGCTTTGGGGTCTCCCCAGGCTTTGGGGTTTCCATGGATTTGGGGTCCCCTTATGGCTTTGGGGTCTCCCCAGGCTTTGGGGTCTCCCCAGGCTTTGGGGTGCCCCCATGACTTTGGGGTGACCCTGTGTCCCCACAGCCACCAGGACTGAGCCTGACGGGGGAGCAGTGCCGCCTCATGTAGGGCACCTTTGGGGTCCCTCCCCGAATTTGGGATCCCCCCGGATTTGGGATCCCCCCCTGGATTTGGGGTCCCCCCCGGATTTGGGATCCCCCCCCTGGATTTGGGGTCCCCCCCCGGATTTGGGGTCCCCCCGGATTTGGGGTGCCCCGGCCCCAGAGGAGGTGAAGAGGAGCCCGGCAGTGGGGTCGGCAGCTCCCCCTCCCCACGTTTGGGGTTTTTTTGGGGTGGGGGGCGCAGGGACCCCCCCGGATGGGGCGGGGTCCCCCCCTCACCCCCCGTGACCCCAATAAAGAGTTGGTGACGGGAACGGCTGAGCCTGCGCTGGGGACATGGGGACATGGGGACACTGGGGACATGGGGACATGGGGACACTGGGGACACTGGGGACACTGGGGGGACATTGGGGACATTGGGGACATGGGGACACTGGGGACAGGGGGGACACAGTGGGGACCCTAAGCAGGGGTGACCCTACAACCACCCAGGGGTGACCCTATAGCAGCATTGGGGACCCTACAGTGACACTGGGGTGACCCTATAGTGACCCTATAACCCCACTGGGGACTCTACTGTGACCCTAAATAGGGGTGAGCCCACAATAATGGGGGTGAGCTGACCCTATAACACAGGGTGACCCTATAACCTCCTTGGTGACCCTATCACCCCACTGGTGGCCCTGCAGTGACCCCATAACCCCATTAATGAGTGCGTTTTTTGGGGGTGATTTTGGGGGGGACCTTGAGACTTTGGGGGTGTTTTGGGGGGTCTTTGAGGCTTTTTTGGGGGTCCCTGAGCTTTTGGGGGGCCCCTTAAGGAGATCCTTGGGGTTTTCGGGGTGTCCTGGGGGGGTTTTGGGGGATCCTTGAAGCTTTTTTGGGGGGGGTCCCTGAGATTTTTGGGATCTGGGAATTTTTGGGGTGACCCCCAAGCTTCTGGGAGGGGTCCCTGAATATTTTTTGGGGGTCCCCTGAGATTGGAGGGTCCCCAAAAATTTGGGAATCCCCAAAATTTTGGGGTCCTCAGGGATTGAGGGAATTTTTGGGGGGGATTCCCCAAAATTTGGGAATTCCCAAGGATCGGGGGGGGTCCCCAAGGATTGGGAGAGGTCCCCAAAATTTGGGATTTCCCAGGATTTGGGGGGTTCCCAAAGATCAGGGGGGGTCCCCAGGGATTGGGGGGTCCCCAAAATTTGGGTCCCTGACCTTTGACCCCGCGCTCCCCCAGCTCCAGCCCCGCTGTCCCCGGCACCTGGCCCAGGTGAGTGCACCCCAGTCCTGGGGGGGTTTGGGGTTTTTTGGGGGGATTTTGGGGTTTTGGGGGGTTTGGGATTTCTCCAGGATTTGGGAAACTCCTGGGAATGCTCCTGGGGATCCAACCCGAGGGATTTGGGGGATCCATCCCGAGGGATTTGGGGGCTCCATCCTGAGGGATTCTGGGTTCCATTCCTGTGGAATTTGGGGGATCCATCCCAAGGGATTTGGCTTCTCCATCCCAAAGGATTTGGGGGATCCATCCCGAGGGATTTGGGATCTTTCCCAAGGGATTCTGGGTTACATTCCTGTGGAATTTCGGGGATCCATCCCAGGAGGATTTGGGTTCCATTCCTGAGAGATTTGGGAATTTCATCCTAAAGGATTTGAGGGATCCATCCTGTGGAATTTGGGGGCTCCATCACAAAGGATTTGGGATCCATCCCAAGGGATTTGGGGACTCCATCCTGAGGGATTTGGGGTCTCCATCCCAGAGGATTTGGGGGCTCCATCCCAGAGGATTTGGGTTCCATTCCTGAGAGATTTGGGAATTTCATCCTAAAGGATTTGGGGGATCCATCCCAGAGGATTTGGGATCCATCCCAAGGGATTCTGGGTTCCATTCCTGTGGAATTTGGGGGATCCAATCCAGGGGATTTGGGTTCTCCATCCCAAAGGATTTGGGGGCTCCATCCTGTGGGATTTGAGGGATCCATCCCGAGGGATTTGGGGGCTCCATCCTGAGGGATTTGGGGGCTCCATTTAGGAAGATTTTGGGTCTTTATCCCTGAGGATTTAGGGGATCCATCCCAGAGAGTTTGGGTTCTCCATCCCAGATGATTTAGGGTTTCATCCCAAAGGATTTGGGGCCTCCATCCCAAGGGATTTGGGGCCTCCATCCCTGAGGATTTGGGGGATCCATCCCAAGGATTTGGGGGATCCATCCCAAGGGATTTTTGGTTCCATTCCTGAGGGGTTTGGGTTCTCCATCCTGAGGGATTTGGGGGATCTGTTTAGGAGGGTTTTGGGGCTTTATCCCTGAGGATTTGGGGCTGCCCAGTTTCCCCTACTGTTTCTCCCAGTTTTTCTCTCAGTTTCTCTCCATCCCAAGGGATTTGGGGCCTCCATCCCAAGGGATTTGGGGCCTCCATCCCAAGGGATTTGGGGCCTCCATCCCAAGGGATTTGGGGCCTCCATCCCAAGGGATTTGGGGCCTCCATCCCAAAGGATTTGGGGGATCCATCCCAAGGGATTTTTGGTTCCATTCCTGAGGGGTTTGGGTTCTCCATCCTGAGGGATTTGGGGGATCTGTTTAGGAGGATTTTGGGGCTTTATCCCTGAGGATTTGGGGCTGCCCAGTTTCCCCTACTGTTTCTCCCAGTTTTTCTCTCAGTTTTTCTCCCAGTTTCTCCTACTTTATCCCATTTTTTATCCCAGTTCCTCACAGTTTATCCCAGTTTTTCTCCCAGTTTTTCTCCCAGTTTTTATCCCATTTTCTCCCAGTTTCTCCTACTTTATCCCAGTTTTTATCCCAGTTTTTATCCCAGTTTTTTCCCAGTTTCTCCCACTTTATCCCAGTTTCTCCCAGTTTTTCTCCCAGTTTCTCCCACTTTATCCCAGTTTTTTCCCAGTTTCTCCCACTTTATCCCAGTTTTTCTCCCAGTCTCTCCCATTTTTCCCTCCCAGTTGCTCCCAGTCTCTCCCAGTCGGGGCCAGCAGGAGCCTGGGCAGGGCAGTTCTGCCTCCGGAGGCTCTGGAATGCCCCGGGATGTTTTTTCGGGATATTTTTGGGAGCAGCAGCGTCAGCCTGAGCCTGTCCAGATGCGCGCCGGCAGCCGCGGAATCCCGGGATTTCGGGACAATTCCCACATTTCCCACCCCCCTCTGGGCCGGGGGGGGTCCCAGCCCTGGGGGCTCCTTCCTCATCCCTCGTGGGATCGGAAAATCCCCGGGATTGGGGGCAGAAATTCCGGGGGTTGGAGGGGGAGGGGGAATTCCAGTGCTGGCCCTTGGGGTTGTTTGGGATTCCGGCAGAATTCCAGGGAATTCCATGGAATTCCAGGGCTCTGCTGCTGCCCTTTGCCATGGAAATGGGGATTTTTGGGAGGCTGGGGGGCCGGCACGGCTCTCCTGGGGAGATGCCAGGGGGAGTTTTTGGTGGGAATGTGTTTGAAGATGGATCTTTAGAATCCCAAATCCCTCAGGATTGGATTTTCCCGGGATGCTGAGCAGTCCATGGAAAATGGGGATTTTGGGAACAGCCAGGCCAGGGCTGGGTGTCCTGCAGCATTCCCAGGTGGTTTTTCCTTGGAAAATTCAGATTTTGGGAACAGCCAGGCCAGGTTTGGGTGTCCTGCAACATTCCCAGGTGGTTTTTCCATGGAAAATTCAGATTTTGGGAACAGACTCGACCCTGTGGGGCTCTGTGGCAGGTGGAAAAAGGGGAATGTTGTGTGGGAATGTTCCAGAATGGATTTTTGGGATCCCAAATGCCTTGGGATGGGATTCTCCCGGGATGCTGAGCAGGGTTTGGGTGTCCTGTGGCATTCCCAGGTGGTTTTTCCATGGAAAATGGGAATTTTGGGAACAGCTAAGTCTGGTTTGGGTGTCCTGCGGCATTCCCAGGTGGTTTTTCCATGGAAAATGGGGATTTTGGGAACAGCCAGGCCAGGTTTGGGTGTCCTGCAGCATTCCCAAGTGGTTTTTCCATGGAAAATGGGGATTTTGGGAGTGCCCACGGTGCTGGGGTGGGCTGGGGACACGGGGACATCCCGTGGTGGCTGTGGCAGGGCCACTGCAGCTCTGTGTCACGGTGTCCCCCTGTCCCTGTGTCCCAACGTCTCTGTGTCCTGGTGTTCCCATGTCCCCTGTCCCCTTGTGTCCATGTCCTTCTGTCCCCGTGCCCCATGTCCCTGTGTCCCCAACGTCCCCCTGTCCCCGTGTCCCCGCAGGGATTCCCGTGGGAAGCGGCGATGTCAGACAAGGGCGGCAGCATGGACGGCAGGACGGACATTGTCAACGGTGAGGGGACAGCTGGGGACAGCTGGGGTGGCAGGGTGACAGTGACAGCGATGGGGATGGGGTGGCAGCAGTGATGGCAGCGGTGGTGACAAGGCAACGGTGACAGCGAGGGTGGCAGCAGAGGTGACAGTGAGGGTGCCGGGGTGGCTGTCCCCAACGTCCCCCTGTCCCCGTGTCCCCGCAGGGATTCCCGTGGGAAGCGGCGATGTCAGACAAGGGCGGCAGCATGGACGGCAGGACGGACATTGTCAACGGTGAGGGGACAGCTGGGGACAGCTGGGGTGGCAGGGTGACAGTGACAGCGATGGGGATGGGGTGGCAGCAGTGATGGCAGCGGTGGTGACAAGGCAACGGTGACAGCGAGGGTGGCAGCAGAGGTGACAGTGAGGGTGCTGGGGTGGCTGTGATGGTGACAGAGTGACTGTGGTGGTGACAGCGACGGTGGTGACAGCAATGGTGACAAAAAGTGACCGTGGTGGTGACAGCGACAGTGGTGACAGTGATGGTGACAGAGTGACCGTGGTGGTGACTGTGGTGGTGACAGTGATGGTGACAAAGTGACCATGGTGGTGACTGTGGTGGTGACAGCGACAGTGCCAGGGTGTCAGTGCAGGTACCAGCCGTGGTGCCACCGCACTGTCCCCATGCTGGTGGCAGTGTCACCAGTCCCTGTCCCCGCCCCCAGGCAGTGACACTGGCTGTCCTTGTCCCCCTGCAGCCTGTCCAGCAGTGTGGTGACACTGGTGACAGTGTGATGTCCCCGTCCCCAGGCAGCCTGTTGAGCTGTCCCCATGGCAGTGTGACACCGGTGGTGTCCCCGTGTCCCCGCAGGGATTCCCGTGGGAAGCGGCGATGTCGGACAAGGGCGGCAGCATGGACGGCAGGACGGACATTGTCAACGGTGAGGGGACAGCTGGGGACAGCTGGGGTGGCAGGGTGACAGTGACAGCGATGGGGATGGGGTGGCAGCAGTGATGGCAGCGGTGGTGACAAGGCAACGGTGACAGCGAGGGTGGCAGCAGAGGTGACAGTGAGGGTGCTGGGGTGGCTGTGATGGTGACAGAGTGACTGTGGTGGTGACAGCGACGGTGGTGACAGCAATGGTGACAAAAAGTGACCGTGGTGGTGACAGCGACAGTGGTGACAGTGATGGTGACAGAGTGACCGTGGTGGTGACAGTGACGGTGCCAGGGTGTCAGTGCAGGTGTCAGCCGTGGTGCCACCGCACTGTCCCCATGCTGGTGGCAGTGTCACCAGTCCCTGTCCCCGCCCCCAGGCAGTGACACTGGCTGTCCTTGTCCCCCTGCAGCCTGTCCAGCAGTGTGGTGACACTGGTGACAGTGTGATGTCCCCGTCCCCAGGCAGCCTGTTGAGCTGTCCCCATGGCAGTGTGACACCGGTGGCACTGCTGTCCCCATGGTGACACTGTGCTGTCCCCAGGCAGCCACAGCAGCCCCGAGGACATCTCAGCCAAGGAGGGCCGGTGTCACTGCCATGTCCCCATGTCCCCATGGCAGTGTGACACTGGTGGCACTGTGCTGTCCCTGTGGTGACACTGTCCCCATGTCCCCCGTTCCCAGGCAGTATGGTGACACTGGTGGCATTGTGCTGTCTGATGGTGACATTGTCTCCATGTCCCCATGTCCCCATGGCAGTGTGACACTGGTGGCACTGTGCTGTCCCCCATTCCCAGGCAGTATGGTGACACTGGTGGCATTGTGCTGTCTGATGGTGACATTGTCTCCATGTCCCCATGTCCCTGGCCCCAGGCAGCCTGTCGAGCAGCCCCGAGGACATGTCGGCCGAGGAGGGCCGGTGTCACTGCCATGTCCCCATGTCAGCGGTACACTGGTGACACCAGTGACACTGTGCTGTCCCCATGGCAGTGTGACACTGGTGGCACTGTGCTGTCCCTGGGGTGACACTGTCCCCATGTCCCCCGTTCCCAGGCAGTATGGTGACACTGGTGGCATTGTGCTGTCTGATGGTGACATTGTCTCCATGTCCCCATGTCCCTGGCCCCAGGCAGCCTGTCGAGCAGCCCCGAGGACATGTCGGCCGAGGAGGGCCGGTGTCACTGCCATGTCCCCATGTCAGTGGTACACTGGTGACACCAGTGACACTGTGCTGTCCCCATGGCAGTGTGACACCGGTGACACCGTGCTGTCCCCGTCCCCAGGCAGTATGGTGACACTGTCCCCGTGTCCCTGTCCCCAGGCAGCCTGTCGAGCAGCCCCGAGGACATGTCGGCCGAGGAGGGCCGGTGTCACTGCCATGTCCCCATGTCCCCATGGCAGTGTGACACTGGTGGCACTGTGCTGTCCCCCATTCCCAGGCAGTATGGTGACACTGGTGGCATTGTGCTGTCTGATGGTGACAGTGTCTCCATGTCCCCATGTCCCTGTCCCCAGGCAGCCTGTCGAGCAGCCCCGAGGACATGTCGGCCGAGGAGGGCCGGTGTCACTGCAATGTCCCCATGGCAGTGTGACACTGGTGGTACACTGGTGACACTGGTGACACTGGTGACACTGTGCTGTCCCCATGGCAGTGTGACACCGGTGACACCGTGCTGTCCCTGTGGTGACACCGTGCTGTCCCTGTCCCCAGGCAGCCTGTCGAGCAGCCCCGAGGACATGTCGGCCGAGGAGGGCCGCGAGACGTCCTCGGGGATCGAGGTGGAGGCGTCCGACCTGAGCCTGAGCCTGACGGGCGACGACGCCGGGGCCGCGCGGGGCCGCGCCAGCGACAGCGACAGCTCCGGGGACAAGGACAGCGACAGCATGGACGACACCGGCCACTACTCCATCCCCGAGGAGCCGCGGCACGACGAGGACGACGAGGAGGAGGAGGAGGAAGAGGAGGAGCCGCGCGCCCGGCGCAGGGCGCCCCGCAAGCGGCCGCCCCACGAGCGCGACTCGTCCGACGAGGAGCAGGCGCTGGAGGACTGGGTGGCTGCTGCTTCTGTCACTTTGCACGGGGGCTGAGGGGGGACAGAGGTGCTAAAAGAGGAGCTAAAAGAGGTTCTAAAAGAGGTGCCGCGGCACGACGAGGACGAGGAGGAGGAGGAGGAGGAAGAGGAGGAGCCGCGCGCCCGGCGCAGGGCGCCCCGCAAGCGGCCGCCCCACGAGCGCGACTCGTCCGACGAGGAGCAGGCGCTGGAGGACTGGGTGGCTGCTGCTTCTGTCACTTTGCACGGGGGCTGAGGGGGGACAGAGGTGCTAAAAGAGGAGCTAAAGCAGGTTCTAAATCAGGTTTTAACTGAGGTTTTAACTGAGGTTTTAAGTGAGGTTTTAAATGGGTTTTTAAAACGTTTTATTCTATTGGCAATAGCGAGACACAGGAGATGAGAAACTGGGTGGTGGCTGCTGCTTCTGTCACTTTGCACGGGGGCTGAGGGGGGACAGAGGTGCTAAAAGAGGTTTTAAATGAAGTTTTAAAAGAGGTTTTAACGGAGGTTTTAAGTGAAGTTTTAAATGGGTTTTTAAAAGATTTTATTCTATTGGCAATAGCGAGACACAGGAGATGAGACACTGGGTGGTGGCTGCTGCTTCTGTCCCTTTGCACGGGGGCTGAGGGGGGACAGAGGTGCTAAAAGAGGTTTTAAATGAAGTTTTAAAAGAGGTTTTAACGGAGGTTTTAAGTGAAGTTTTAAATGGGTTTTTAAAAGATTTTATTCTATTGGCAATAGCGAGACACAGGAGATGAGACACTGGGTGGTGGCTGCTGCTTCTGTCCCTTTGCACGGGGGCTGAGGGGGGACAGAGGTGCTAAAAGAGGTTTTAAATGAAGTTTTAAAAGAGGTTTTAACTGAGGTTTTAAGTGAATTTATTCCGTTATCAGTCTCAATGCATAGTGAGACACAGGAGATGAGAAACTGGGCGGTGGCTGCTGCTTCTGTCGTGCTTCTGTGACTTTGCACGGGGGCTGGGGGGGGACAGAGGTGCTAAAAGAGGTTTTAAAAGAGGTTTTAACTGAGGTTTTAAAAGAGATTTTAAAAGAGGTTTTAACTGAGGTTTTAAATGATTTTATTCCGTTATCAGTCTCAATGCATAGTGAGACACAGGAGATGAGAAACTGGGCGGTGGCTGCTGCTTCTGTCGCTTTGCACGGGGGCTGAGGGGGGACAGAGGTGCTAAAAGAGGTTCTAAATCAGGTTCTAAATCAGGTTTTAAAAGAGGTTTTAACTGAGGTTTTAAAAGATTTTATTCTATTGGCAATAGTGAGACACGGGAGATGTAAACCCGGGTGGTGGCTGCTGCTTCTGTCACTTCACAGAGAGGCTGAAGAGTGGAAAGAGGCTTTAAAAAAGGTTTAAAACTGAGGTTTTAAAAGAGATTTTAAATGAGGTTTTAAAAGATTTTATTCCTATCAGTCTCGGTGCATAGTGAGACACAAGAGATGTAAAAGTGGGTGGCTGCTGGTTTTCTCTGTAAAAACTGAGAAAGTTTTCACACTTGGTTGTGGGACGTCACCCTACAGTAACATTGGGGTTACTACAGTGACCCTAAACACAGGTGACCCTGCAATAACATTGGGGTGACCCTACAGTGACCCTAAACATGGGTGACCCTACAGTAACATTGGGGTGACCCTATACATGGGCGACCCTACAACAAAGTTGGTTTTCTCTGTAAAACTGAGAAAGTTTTGACACTTTGATTGTGGAGGGTCACCCTACAGTAACATTGGGGTGACCCTAGAACAACATTGATTTTCTCTGTAAAACAGAAAGTTTTGACACTTGATTGTTTAAGGTCACCCTACAGTAACAATGGGGTGACCCTACAGTGATCCTAAACATGGGTGACCCTACAATAACATTGGGGTGACTCTACAGTGACCCTAAACACAGGTGACCCTACAATAACATTGGGGTGACCCTAGAACAACATAGATTTTCTCTGTAAAACAGAAAGTTTTGACACTTGATTGTGGAAGGTCACCCTACAGTAACATTGGGGTCACCCTACAGTGACCGTACAACAAAGTTGGTTTTCTCTGTAAAACAGAAAGTTTTGACACTTGATTGTTTAAGGTCACCCTACAGTAACAATGGGGTGACCCTACAGTGATCCTAAACATGGGTGACCCTACAATAACATTGGGGTTGACTCTTGATTGTGGAGGCTCACCCTACAGTAACATTGGGGTGACCCTAAACATGGGTGACCCTACAATAACATAGATTTTCTCTGTAAAACAGAAAGTTTTGACACTTGATTGTGGAGGCTCACCCTACAGTAACCTTGGGTGACCAACGGGTGACCCTACAACGATTTTCATGTCAAACCCGAGAACATTTCCCCACTTCATCACGTAAAAACCATCCAGAAGTGCCCCGTTAGCAGCAGCCACCCCCTGCCAGCTGCCCGGGCGAGCCTGTAAAGCCGCGCCTGTGTCCCCAGGTGGCCTCGGAGACGTGGGCGCTGCCGCGGCCGCGCTGGCGGGCGATCCCGGCGCTGCGGCAGCGCCAGCTGGGCGGCTGCTCGCGCTTCGTGGCGCAGGCCTGCGGCGCCCGGCTCTTCGTGCAGAAGTTCCGGCTGCAGCACGGCCTGGAGGGCCACACGGGCTGCGTGAACACGCTGCACTTCAACCAGCGCGGCACCCGCCTGGCCAGCGGCAGCGACGACCTCAAGGTGCTGGTGTGGGACTGGCTGCGGCGCCGGCCCGTGCTGCAGTTCGACAGCGGGCACAAGAGCAACGTCTTCCAGGTGGGCATTGTGGGCTTTTGGGGAGGGCATGGTGGGCTTTTGGGGTGGGATCACAAAGGGGATGTGTTGGCTGCATGGGTTTGCCAGAGTTTGTGGATGTTTGGTTAGGTGTGTTCCAAAATTCGTCGCTCTAAGGGTTCCTGTTTGGGGTGGGAGAGGATCCCAGGAACAGCTGAGCTGGGTGGGAGAACATCCCAGAAAATCCCAAAGGGGTGTCTCGGGATCCATCATCTGGATGGGTTTCCCAAAGTTTGTGGGTGTCTGTTTAGGCGTTACTCTAAAATTTGTCATTCTAAAGAGCAACCGTCTTCCAGGTGGGCACGGTGGGCTTTTGGGGTGGGCATTCTGGGCTTTTGGGGTGGGATCACAAAGGGGATGTGTTGGCTGCATGGGTTTCCTGAAGTTCACGGGTGTGTCATAAAATTTTTTGGGTTGAGGGTCCCTGTTTGGGGTGGGAGAGGATCCCAGGAAAATGTCGCCTGGGCCAGGGGAGGCTTGGGAAAGGGTCTGGGAACTGGTCCCCAGACCCCACAGACTGACACCCCAATTCCTGGCAGATTTTGGGATGATACCCTGAGAGATTTTGGGATTATATCCCGCGAGACTTTGGGATGATTCCCAGGAGATTTTGGGATGATTCCTAGGGGAGACTTCGTGATGATTCCCAAGAGAACTGTGACAACTCCCAGAACCATTCCAGCAATTCCCCCCATCCCTTTCCCCTCCCACCTCCTCTGCGACTCCCCCTCTCCTTCCCCCTCTCCTTTTACCACCCCACTGTCCCTTTTTCCCACTTTTTCCCCGTTTTCCCTGTTTTCCAGGCCAAGTTCCTGCCCAACAGCGGTGACTCCACGCTGGCCATGTGTGCCCGGGACGGGCAGGTGCGCGTGGCCGAGCTCTCGGCCACCCAGTGCTGCCGCAGCACCAAGCGCGTGGCCCAGCACAAGGGGGCTTCCCACAAGGTGAGGGGGGCTTGGGAATGCCAAATCCCGGGATTTGGGGTGCCTGGGAATGGGGGAACGCAGTGGGAATGGGGTGGGGACTTCACCACAGAGGTGACAGAGCTGCCACAGCACCGAGCGCGTGGCCCAGCACAAGGTGAGGGGGGCTTGGGAATGCCAAATCCCGGGATTTGGGGTGGTTGGGATTTGGGAATGGCAAGTCCTGGGATTTGGGGTGCCTGGGAATGGGGGAACGCAGTGGGAATGGGGTGGGGATGTCACCACAGAGGTGACAGAGCTGCCACAGCACTGAGTGCGTGGCCCAGCACAAGGGGGCTTCCCACAAGGTGAGGGGGGGCTTGGGAATGCCAAATCCCGGGATTTGGGGTGCTTGGGAATGGGGGAGAACTTTTCCTGCAGATCCGAGGGGTTTTTGGGAGAAAGGAAGGGATTTTCCCACTTTCTGCATGTAGCGGAAATCAATTCCCAAATATTTCAAGCCTTGGATGTGGCCATTGTCACCTTTGATGTCACTGCACAGGTGAAGGGGGTGGGTTTAGCCACTCATCTCCATTAAAATCCAGGAATTTTGGGATTTTCCCACTTTTTGGGTGCAATTCAGACCCTTGGCTGTGCTGTTGTTCCCATGACGTCACCCAGATGGTATCACTGCAGTTCGGGGCGGGAATCCCCAAACCTGGGGTTTTCCAGGTGGATTTTCCTGTTTTTTGGGATTTTGGGGAGTTACTCTCACTGTTTTTTCCCTCTTTTCCCCCAATCTCAGCTGGCGCTGGAGCCGGACTCGCCCTGCACGTTCCTGTCTGCGGGGGAGGACGCCGTGGTCTTCACCATCGACCTGCGGCAGGACCGGCCCGCCTCGTGAGTGAGGGGAAAATGGGAATTCTGAGGGGAAAAGTGGGAATTCTGGGCAGGAGATGGGAATTCTGTGGGGAAAAAAGGGGATTTGGGGTAGGAAATGGAGATTCCATCGACCTGCGGCAGGACCGGCCTGCCTCGTGAGTGAGGGAAAAATTGGGAATTCTGAGGGGAAAAGTGGGAATTCTGGGCAGGAGATGGGAATTCTGTGGGGAAAAAAGGGGATTTGGGGTAGGAAATGAGGATTCCATCGACCTGTGGCAGGACCAGCCCGCCTCGTGAGTGAGGGGAAAAGTGGGAATTCTGAGGGGAAAAGTGGCAGTTCTGCGGGGAAAAGTAGCAGTTCTGAGGGGAAAAGTGGGAATTTTGAGGGGAAAAGTGGAAATTCTGGGCAGGAGATGGGAATTCTGTGGGAAAAAAAGGGGATTTGGGGTAGGAAATGGGGATTCCATCGACCTGCGGCAGGACCAGCCCGCCTCGGGAGGGAGGGGAAAAGTGGGAATTCTGGGGGGAAAGTCAGGAATTCTGGGTGAGAAGTGAGAGTTCTGTGGGGAAAAATGGGTATTAGGGGTAGGAAATGGGGATTCCATCGACCTGCGGCAGGACCAGCCCGCCTCGGGAGGGAGGGGAAAAGTGGGAATTCTGGGGGGAAAGTCAGGAATTCTGGGTGAGAAGTGAGAGTTCTGTGGGGAAAAACGGGTATTTGGGGTAGGAAATGGGGATTCCATCGACCTGCAGCAGGACCAGCCTGCCTCGTGAGTGACCAGAAAAACAAGAATTCTGAGGGGAAAAATGGGAATTCTGAGGGGAAAAGTGGCAGTTCTGAGGGGAAAAGTGGGAATTCTGGGCAGGAGATGGGAATTCTGTGGATGAAATGGGAATTCTGTGGGGAAAAAAGGGGATTTGGGGTAGGAAATGAGGATTCCATTGATCTGCGGCTGGATGGGCCTGCCTTGTGAGTGACCAGAAAAACAGGAATTCTGAGGGGAAAAATGGGAATTCTGAGGGGAAAATCAGGAATTCTGGGTGGGAAGTGGGAGTTTTGTGGGGAAAAATGGGTATTTGGTGTAGGAAATGGGGATTCCATTGACCTGCGGCAGGATGGGCCTGCCTCGTGAGTAAGGGGAAAATTGGGAATTCTGAGGGGAAAAGTGGGAATTCTGAGGGGAAAATGGAGAATTCTGTGGAGGAAATGGGGAATTTTGTGCAGAAGAAGGGAATTCTGGGGGTGAAATAGGAATTCTGTGGGGAAAAAAGGGTATTTGGGGTGGGAAATGGGGGTTCCATTGGTCTGAAATAGGATCGGCCTGCCTCACAAGTGATCAGAAAATTGGGAATTCTGCGGGGGAAAATTGGGAATTGTAAGGGGAAATTTGAGAATTCTGAGGGGGAAAATGGGAATTCTGGGCAGGAAATGGGAAGAGGTGGATTTTGGGGGAAAATCAGGGTTTTTTTGGGAAATCAGGGATTCTTGGGGAAATCAGGTTATTTTTGTGGGGAAAATGGGTTGGGTGTTTTTTGAAAATCGTGATTTTTGCAGGAAAATTTGATATGTTTGGTGGGATTTATTATTTTTAAATTTATTAAATTTAATATTTTTGGGGAGAAATGGAAATTTTTTTGAAAATTGGTTTTTTTTGGGGGGGTGGAAATCGATTATTTTTAAACCAGAGTAATTTTGTGAGCAAACATTTTTTTGGGGGGAAAGCAGGTTTTTTTTGGGAAAAACCACTGTTTTTTGAGGCAAAAACGCTTTTTTTGAGCAAAATTAGGGATTTTTGGGCTAAACCTGATTAATTCTGTGGGGAAAAAAGGGGATTTGGGGTAGGAAATGAGGATTCCATTGATCTGCGGCTGGATGGGCCTGCCTTGTGAGTGACCAGAAAAACAGGAATTCTGAGGGGAAAAATGGGAATTCTGAGGGGAAAATCAGGAATTCTGGGTGGGAAGTGGGAGTTTTGTGGGGAAAAAAGGGGATTTGGGGTAGGAAATGGGGATTCCATTGACCTGCGGCAGGATGGGCCTGCCTCGTGAGTAAGGGGAAAATTGGGAATTCTGAGGGGAAAAGTGGGAATTCTGGGCAGGAGATGGGAATTCTGTGGGGAAAAAAGGGGATTTGGGGTAGGAAATGGAGATTCCATCGACCTGCGGCAGGACCGGCCTGCCTCGTGGGGGAGGGAAAAATTGGGAATTCTGAGGGGAAAAGTGGGAATTCTGAGGGGAAAATGGAGAATTCTGTGGAGGAAATGGGGAATTTTGTGCAGAAGAAGGGAATTCTGGGGGTGAAATAGGAATTCTGTGGGGAAAAAAGGGTATTTGGGGTGGGAAATGGGGGTTCCATTGGTCTGAAATAAGATCGGCCTGCCTCACAAGTGATCAGAAAATTGGGAATTCTGAGGGGAAAATTGGGAATTCTGAGGGGAAAAGTGAGAATTCTGAGGGGAAAAATGGGAATTCTGAGGGGAAAAGTGGCAGTTCTGAGGGGAAAAGTGGGAATTCTGAGGGGAAAATTAGGAATTCTGGGTGAGAAGTGAGAGTTCTGTGGGGAAAAATGGGTATTTGGGGTAGGAAATGGGGATTCCATCGACCTGCAGCAGGACCAGCCTGCCTCGTGAGTGACCAGAAAAACAAGAATTCTGAGGGGAAAAATGGGAATTCTGAGGGGAAAAGTGGCAGTTCTGAGGGGAAAAGTGGGAATTCTGGGCAGGAGATGGGAATTCTGTGGATGAAATGGGAATTCTGTGGGGAAAAAAGGGGATTTGGGGTAGGAAATGAGGATTCCATTGATCTGCGGCTGGATGGGCCTGCCTTGTGAGTGACCAGAAAAACAGGAATTCTGAGGGGAAAAATGGGAATTCTGAGGGGAAAATCAGGAATTCTGGGTGGGAAGTGGGAGTTTTGTGGGGAAAAATGGGTATTTGGTGTAGGAAATGGGGATTCCATCGACCTGCGGCAGGATGGGCCTGCCTCGTGAGTAAGGGGAAAATTGGGAATTCTGAGGGGAAAAGTGGGAATTCTGAGGGGAAAATGGAGAATTCTGTGGAGGAAATGGGGAATTTTGTGCAGAAGAAGGGAATTCTGGGGGTGAAATAGGAATTCTGTGGGGAAAAAAGGGTATTTGGGGTGGGAAATGGGGGTTCCATTGGTCTGAAATAAGATCGGCCTGCCTCACAAGTGATCAGAAAATTGGGAATTCTGAGGGGAAAATTGGGAATTGTAAGGGGAAATTTGAGAATTCTGAGGGGAAAAATGGGAATTCTGGGCAGGAAATGGAGAATTCTGGGCAGGAAATGGGAAGAGGTGGATTTTGGGGGAAAATCAGGGTTTTTTTGGGAAATCAGGGATTCTTGGGGAAATCAGGTTATTTTTGTGGGGAAAATGGGTTGGGTGTTTTTTGAAAATCGTGATTTTTGCAGGAAAATTTGATATGTTTGGTGGGATTTATTATTTTTAAATTTATTAAATTTAATATTTTTGGGGAGAAATGGAAATTTTTTTGAAAATTGGTTTTTTTTGGGGGGGTGGAAATCGATTATTTTTAAACCAGAGTAATTTTGTGAGCAAACATTTTTTTGGGGGGAAAGCAGGTTTTTTTTGGGAAAAACCACTGTTTTTTGAGGCAAAAACGCTTTTTTTGAGCAAAATTAGGGATTTTTGGGCTAAACCTGATTATTTTTAGAGAGAAAACCAGGGTTTTTTTGTGGGAAAAGCAGGGATTTTTTGGGGAAAAGCAGTTTTTCTGTCTGCCTGTGTTTTTCCAAGCCTCCAGGCTGTCATTCTGGAGGCTGATCCAGCCCAAATCCCGGGGTTTCATAACCAGGACGAGCCCTTTAATCCCTGATCCCGCCAGAATCCGCGGCTGGAGCTGATCCCAACCCCCTCCCTGGGCTGGATCCCTTTGGAATTCTCACCCTGCCAGAGCCAACCCCAAATTTTCCCTCCTGGAATAGCCCAAAATCCCTCAAATCCCAGCTGTTTGCAGGGACTTTTTTGAAAAAAAAAGGGTTTTTTGGGGAAAAAAAATGGGGATCTTGTGGGGAAAATTGGGATCTTGTGGGGAATAATGGGGATTTTAGTGGGGGGAAAGTTGGACAGTTAAAATGAGGATTCTGTCAGGAAAATGGGGATTTTTTTTTTTTTTGAAAAATGGGAATTTGGTAGGGGAAACAGGCAGGATTTGGGAAATAGCAGGTGGGTGGATTTTGGGCAAAAATCAGGGGCTTTTTTTGGGAAATCACATTTCCCTTGGGAATTCCTAACCTGTCCTTTGGGCTGGATCCCTTTGGAATTTTGCCCTGGTGGAGTCAACCCTGAATATTTCTCTCCTGAAATGCCCCAAATTCCCACAAATCCCATCTGTTTTTAGGGGAGAACCCCCCCAAATCCCATTTTCCCTTTGGGAGTTCTCCCAGTGTGGATTTTTCCTTGGGAAATTCCCAACCTTGGGAATATTCCCCACCCTCATTGCCCAAATCCTGCTGATTTGGGGGATTTTCTCCCCTGGGAATTCCTACTCCTGATCTGGGGGGATTGGAGCTGGGATCTGAGGGGATTGGGGCTGGAATTGGGGCTGGAATTGGGGCTGGGATTTGGGCTGGGATTTGGGGGATTTGGGCTGGGATTGGGGCTGGAATTGGGGCTGGATTTGGGGGATTTGGGGCTGGACCTCCCCCCAACTCCCATTTTCCCTTTGGGAATTCTCCCAGTGTGGATTTTTCCTTGGGAAATTCCCAACCTTGGGAATATTCCCCACCCTCATTGCCCAAATCCTGCTGATTTGGGGGATTTTCTCCCCTGGGAATTCCTACTCCTGATCTGGGGGGATTGGAGCTGGGATCTGAGGGGATTGGGGCTGGAATTGGGGCTGGGATTGGGGGCTGGGATTTGGGGCTGGATTTGGGGGATTTGGGCTGGGATTGGGGCTGGGATTTGAGGCTGGGATTTGGGCTGGATTTGGGGGATTTGGGCTGGGATTGGGGGATTTGGGCTGGGATTTGGGCTGGGATTTAGGTTGGGATTGGGGCTGGGATTGGGGCTGGATTTGGGGGATTTGGGGCTGGGATTGGGGCTGGGATTTAGGTTGGGATTGGGTCTAGGATTTGAGGCTGGGATTGGGGCTGGATTTGGGGGATGGGGGGTTGGGATTTGAGGCTGGGATTTGAGGCTGGATTTGGGGGATTTGGGGCTGGGATTTGGGGCTGGGATTGGGGCTGGGGTTTGGGGCTGGATTTGGGGGGTTTGGGGCTGGGATTGGGGCTGGGATTTAGGTTGGGATTGGGTCTAGGATTTGAGGCTGGGATTGGGGCTGGATTTGGGGGATGGGGGGTTGGGATTTGAGGCTGGGATTTGAGGCTGGATTTGGGGGATTTGGGGCTGGGATTTGGGGCTGGGATTGGGGCTGGGATTTGGGGCTGGATTTGGGGGATTTGGGGCTGGGATTGGGGCTGGGATTTGGGGCTGGGATTTGAGGCTGGGATTTGGGCTGGATTTGGGGGATTTGGGCTGGGATTTGGGGTTGGGATTGGGGCTGGGATTGGGGCTGGGACTGGGCTGATCCCAAGGATTTTCCCAGGAAATTGGTGGTGACGAAGGAGAAGGAGAAGAAGGTCGGGCTCTACACCATCTTTGTCAACCCTGCCAACACCTCCCAGTTCGCCGTGGGCGGCCGCGACCAGTTCGTGAGGTGGGGCCAAACTGGGAGCACTGGGAGAGCCCAGATCCTGGAATTCCCCATCCCAAATCCTGGGATTCCCTATCCCAAATCCATGATTTCCCCTGCCCAATTTGCCTTTCTCAAATCCAACTTTTGCCCTTTCCAAATCCATGGTTTCCCTGTCCCAAATCAGGGGCCAGGACCAGTTTGGGAGGTGAGGCCAAACTGGGAGCACTGGGAGAGCCAAAATCCAGGGATTCCCCATCCCAAATCCAGGGATTCCCCATCCCAAATCCAGGGATTTCCCATCCCAAATCCAGAGATCCCCCATCCCAAATCCAGGGATCCCCCATCCCAAATCCAGGGATTCCCAAATCTGCCTCTTTCCCATCCCAAATCCCCAATTTTGCCTTCCCAAATCCAGGACTGGGACCAGCACAGAATTCCAGGGAATTTTAGGATGGAATCTGGGGCATGGGAATGTTTTTTCTGCCCCAGATCCCCAGGGAATTTTAGGATGAATTCTGACCGTGGGAAAATAATTCCTGCCTCAAATCCCCAGGGAATTTTTAGGATGGAATTCAGACCATGGGAACATGATTCCTGCCTCAAATCCCCAGGGAATTTTTAGATGGAATTTTGGGTGTGGGAACATCATTTCTGTCCCAAATCTGGCCCTATCCTGGCACAAAAATCCCAGGGAATTTTAGGATGGAATTTTGAGCCCTAGGATCTCAGAATGGGAATTTTGGGGATAAAAAAGCCTCCCTGGAGTGAATCCAACCCTTTTTTTTTTTTCCTTGATTCCTGCAGGATTTATGACCAGAGGAAAATCGATGAGAACGAGAACAACGGAGTCCTGAAGAAGTTCTGTCCCCACCACCTGGTACTGGGGATACTGGGAGCACTGGGAGGGGACTGGGAGCATTGGGAGGGGACTGGGAGCACTGGGATCACCCCAGAGCAATCCCATGGGAAGAGGCCTCTCCTTTTCCTGGAAAACCCTTCAGGAAGAGGCAGAAACAACTCCCAAAAATCTCTTTTTTTGTCTTTTTTTACCCCTCAATCCCCACTTTCTGCCTCCCTGCATCCTCACCTGGGGGTTTAACACTCAGAATTCCCAGGAAAAAGGACAGGAAGAGGGAGAAACAACTCCCAAAAATCTCTTTTTTTGGGTTTTTTTCCCCCCTCAATCCCTATTTTTTGCCTCCCTAAACCCTCACCTGGGGGTTTAACACTCACAATTCCCAGGAAAAGGGGCTGGAGCTGAGTTTTTTCCCACTTTTCCAGGTGAACTGCGAGTCCAAAGCCAACATCACCTGCCTGGTCTACAGCCACGACGGCTCAGGTGAGTCCAGGTGGGGATCTGGGGAGTTCTGGGGGGTCCCACTCCCTCAAACCCCCTCATTTCCCACCCAAAAAATATCAGGTTTTCCAAAAAATACCCATTTTCCTAAAAAAAAAACAAACCCTGACCTCAAACACCTCTTCCCCCAGAAAACCTGAGTTCCCCCCTGCCAAATTCCATATTTTCCAAAATAAAAATAATCTCCCCCCCAAAAAAACCTCTTGAGTTCCAGACCCTCCTGTTTTTCTCCATTTTCCTCCTGTTTTTCCCATTTTCTTGCTGGTTTTCCCCGTTCCCCCCATTTTTTCTCAATTGTTCTGCTGGATTTTTGCCTTTCCCCATTTTCCCCATTCTCCTCCTGTTTTTCCCCATTCTCCTCCCATTTTTCCTATTTTATCCTCTTTTTTCCCATTCTCCCCATTTTCCCCATTCTCCCATTTTTCCCATTTTCATCTTTTTTCCCATTCTCCTCCCATTTTTTCCCATTTTCCTCCCATTATTTCCCATTCACCCCTTTTTTTCCCATTTTTCTCCCATTTTTTCCCATTTTCCTCCCATTTTTTCCCATTCGTTTTTTCCCACTTTTCCAGGTGAACTGCGAGTCCAAAGCCAACATCACCTGCCTGGTCTACAGCCACGACGGCTCAGGTGAGTCCAGGTGGGGATCTGGGGAGTTCTGGGGGGTCCCACTCCCTCAAACCCCCTCATTTCCCACCCAAAAAATATCAGGTTTTCCAAAAAATACCCATTTTCCTAAAAAAAAAACAAACCCTGATTATCCTCAAACACCTCTTCCCCCAGAAAACCTGAGTTCCCCCCTGCCAAATTCCATATTTTCCAAAATAAAAATAATCTCCCCCCCAAAAAAACCTCTTGAGTTCCAGACCCTCCTGTTTTTCTCCATTTTCCTCCTGTTTTTCCCATTTTTTTCCATTTTTTCCCATTTTTTCCCATTTTCTTGCTGGTTTTCCCCATTCCCCCCATTTTTTCTCAATTGTCCTGCTGGATTTTTGCCTTTCCCCATTCTCCTCCTGTTTTTCCCTATTCTCCTCCCATTTTTCCCATTTTCATCCTCTTTTTTCCCATTCTCCTCCCATTTTTTCCCATTTTCCTCCCATTATTTCCCATTCACCCCTTTTTTTCCCATTTTTCTCCCATTTTTTCCCATTTTCCTCCCATTTTTTCCCATTCACCCCATTTTTTCCCGATTTTCTTCCCATTTCTCCCCTTTCCCCATTCCCCTTCTCCCCATTTTTCCCCCTTTTCCCCATTTTCCTGCTGCTTTTCCCCCTTTCCCCGCTATTTTTCCCCATTCCCCTGGCGTTTTTCCTCAATTCCCCCCCTTTATTCCCCATCCCCCCCTGTTTTTCCCCAATTTCCCCCCGTTTATTCCCGTTTTCCCGTGTTTTTCCCGGTTTTTCCCCGCTGCAGAGCTGCTGGCCTCGTACAACGACGAGGACATTTACCTGTTCGACTCGGCGCACAGCGACGGCGCGCAGTACAGCCGGCGCTACAAGGGCCACCGCAACAACGCCACGGGTAACCCCAAAATCACCCCAAATCCAGCCCAAAACCAGCCCCAAATCCATCCTAAATCACCCCAAAACCAGCCCCAAAAACATCCCAAACTCAGCCCCAAACCAGCGCAGTACAGCCGGCGCTACAAGGGCCACCGCAACAACGCCACGGGTAACCCCAAAACACCCCAAAACTGGCCTGAATCCACCCCAAAACCAGCCCCAAAACACCCCAAAACCAGCCCCAGAATCAGCCCAGGAACAGCCCCAAAACCAGCGCAGTACAGCCGGCGCTACAAGGGCCACTGCAACAACACCACGGGTAACCCCAAAACACCCCAAATCCAGCCCTAAACCAGCCCCAAATCCACTCCAAAACCAGCCCCAAATCACCCCAAAACCATCCAGCCCCCAGCCCCAAAATCAGCCCAGGAACAGCCTCAAAACAGCGCAGTACAGCCGGCGCTACAAGGGCCACCGCAACAACGCCACGGGTAACCCCCAAATCACCCCAAATCCATCCCCAAAACAGCCCCAAATCCACCCCAAAACCAGCCCCAAAACCAGCCCAGGAACAGCCCCAAATTATCCCAGAAACAGCCCTAAACCAGCGCAGTACAGCCGGCGCTACAAGGGCCACCGCAACAACGCCACGGGTAACCCCCAAATCACCCCAAATCCATCCCCAAAACAGCCCCAAATCCACCCCAAAACCAGCCCCAAATCCATCCCAAATCACCCCAAAAACAGCCCCAAAACCAGCCCAGGAACAGCCCCAAAAACATCCCAAAGCCAGCCCCAAAATCAGCCCAGGAACAGCCCCAAAACAGCGCAGTACAGCCGGCGCTACAAGGGCCACCGCAACAACGCCACGGGTAACCCCAAAACACCCCAAAACCAGCCCCAAAACACCCCAAAACCAGCCCCAAAACACCCCAAAACCAGCCGAGGAACAGCCCCAAAACCAGCCCCAAAACACCCCAAAACCAACCCCAAAATCAGCCCAGGAACAGCCCCAAATTACTGCAAATCAGCCTTAAAACAGCCCAGAAACACCCTGAAATCAGTCCCCAAAAAGCCCAAAATTACCCCCAAACCAGCCCTGAAACATCCAGAAACAGTCTGAAAAATCAACCCCAAAATCAGCTTTCAATCAGCTCTAAAATACCCCAAAATCAACCATAAACCCTTCCCTGAATTACCTCAGAATCAACCCCAAAATCAACCCTAAATCACCCCAAATCAACCCTAAATCATCCTGAAATCAACCCTAAATTAGCCCTAAAACACCTGAAAATCTGCCTTAAATGCAACCCCAGAATAGCCCTAAAACCCCACAAAAATCCCCCCTGGAGATCCTTAAAATCCCTTTTGGGAAACATTTCCTTGGCTTCCCAGCTGGGAATTCCACTGGAGACAACCCCAACCTCCCATTTTTTTCCTGATTTTCCCTGATTTTTCCCTTTTTCCCCCGTTTTTCCAGTGAAAGGGGTGAATTTCTACGGCCCCAAGAGCGAGTTCGTGGTGAGCGGCAGCGACTGCGGCCACATTTTCCTGTGGGAAAAATCCTCCTGCCAGATCGTGCAGTTCATGGAGGGGGACAAGGGTGGAGTGGTGAGACCCCAAATCCCCAAATTCCCCCTTTTCCCCCACCCCTTTTCCCCCTGTTCCCACCCCTGTGGGAAAAATCCTCCTGCCAGATCGTGCAGTTCATGGAGGGGGACAAGGGTGGAGTGGTGAGACCCCAAATCCCCAAATTCCCCCACCCTTTTCCCCCTGTTCCCACCCCAAAAGCAGCGGGATGGTCCCGTTCCCGTTTCCCGGGGGTTTGAGGGTGGGGCAGGATCCCAGATTTGGCCGATTCCCCAGGAGCCTGTGGGATTTTTCCAGGTGTTTCCTGCAGGAAAGGGAAGTGCCTGTGCTGGGAATGGCTCCATCCCGAATTTCCTCTGCTGGGAACTCCTGCCTCTCCTGCTTTGGGATGGGCAGGAAGGGCCTTTTCCCTTTTTCTCCCCTTTTCCCCCCCTTTTTTTTCCCCATTTTTCCCTCTTTTCCCCCTTTTCTTGCCCCCTTTTTCCCTATTTTCTCCCAGGTGAACTGCCTGGAGCTGCACCCATACTTTCCCCATTCCCAATCCCATTTTTCCCACTTTTTCCCAGGTGAACTGCCTGGATGGGCAGATCTCCCATTCCCAATCCCATAATTCCCATTTTTCCCATGTTTCCCCGTTTTCCCCAAGTGAACTGCCTGGAGGGGCAGCTCCCTTGTTCCCAATCCCATTCCCAATCCCAAATCCTCATTTTTCCCTTTTCCCCCCTGTTTCCCCCAGGTGCACTGCCTGGAATTGCCATTCCCAACTCCAAATCCCCATTTTTCCCATTTTTTCCCCAGGTGAACTGCCTGGGATTGCCATTTCCAGCCCCAAATCCCCATTTTCCCCATTTCCCCCCATTTTTTCCCCAGGTGAACTGCCTGGAGCCTCACCCCCATTCCCAACCCCAAATCCCCATTTTCCCCATTTTTCCCAGGTGCACTGCCTGGGATCACCATTCCCAGTCCCAAAATCCCCATTTTTCCCATTTTCCCCATTTCCCCCCATTTTTCCCCAGGTGAACTGCCTGGAGCCTCACCCGCATTCCCAATCCCATTCCCAATCCCCAAATCCCCATTTTTCCCATTTTCCCCATTTTTTCCCCAGGTGAACTGCCTGGAGGGGCAGCTCCCCTGTTCCCAATCCCATTCCCAACCCCAAATCCCCATTTCCCCCATTTTTCCAGGTGAACTGCCTGGGATCACCATTCCCAATCCCATTCCCAACCCCAAATCCCCATTTTTCCCATTTCCCCATTTTTCCCCAGGTGAACTGCCTGGAGCCTCACCCGCACCTGCCCGTGCTGGCCACCAGCGGGCTGGACCACGACGTGAAGATCTGGGCGCCCACGGCCGAGGCGCCCACGGAGCTGCGGGGCCTCAAGGAGGTGCGTGGGGCTGATTTCCTTGGGATCTGACCCGGATTTTCCACGGAATCTGACCCGGGATGTCCATGGAATGTGACCTGGGTTTTCCATGCAGTGTGACCCAGGTTTTCCATGGAATCTGACCCGGGTTTTCCATGCAGTCTGACCCGGGATTTCCTTGGAATGTGACCCAGGTTTTCCCTGGAGTCTGACCCGGGTTTTCCCTGGAATCTGACCCGGGATTTCCTTGGAATGTGACGCGGGTTTTCCATGGGTCTGACCCGGGATTTCCTTGGAATGTGACGCGGGTTTTCCATGGGATCTGACCCGGGATTTCCTTGGAATCTGACCCGTGATTCCCATGGAATCTGACCCGGGATTTCCTTGGAATCTGAGCCGGAATTTCCATGGAATGTGACCCAGGATTTCCATGGAATCTGACCCGGGATTCCCATGGAATGAGCCCCAGGATTCCCATGGAATCTGGCCCGGCATTCCCACGGCATTTAACCCTTTCCCCGCAGGTGATCAAGAAGAACAAGGTGGAGCGGGACGAGGACAGCCTGCACCACACGGACATGTTTGACAGCCACATGCTCTGGTTCCTCATGCACCACCTGCGCCAGCGCCGCCACCACCGGGTACCCTGCTGCCCCTCTCCTCTGCTCCCCTTTCCCTGCCTTTGCCCACTTTTCCTGCCTTTTCCCACTTTTCCTGCCTTTTCCCACTTTTCCTGCCTTTTCCCACTTTTCCTGCCTTTTCCCACTTTTCCTGCCTTTTCCCACTTTCCCCCACTTTTTCTGACCCTGTTTCCCCCATTCATTACCCCATTTCCCCCGTTCCTGACCCCATTCCCCATCTCTGACCCCATTTCTGACCCCATTTCCCCAATCCCTCCATTTCTGCCCCCGTTTCTGATCCCTTTCCCTATTCCTGACCACATTTCCCCCATTTCTGACCCCATTTCCCCTGTTCCTGCCCCCGTTCCTGCCCCCTTTTCCCCATTTCTGTCCCCTTTCCCCCATCCCTGACCCCTTTCTGCCCCTTCCTGCCTTTTCCCACTTTCCCCCACTTTTTCTGACCCTGTTTCCCCCATTCATTACCCCATTTCCCCCGTTCCTGACCCCATTCCCCATCTCTGACCCCATTTCTGACCCCATTTCCCCAATCCCTCCATTTCTGCCCCCGTTTCTGATCCCTTTCCCTATTCCTGACCACATTTCCCCCATTTCTGACCCCATTTCCCCTGTTCCTGCCCCCGTTCCTGCCCCCTTTTCCCCATTTCTGTCCCCTTTCCCCCATCCCTGCCCCCTTTCTGCCCCTTTCCCCCATTCCTGACCCATTTCTGCCCCATTTCCCCCATTTCTGCCCCATTTCCCCCATTTCTAACCCCATTCCTGCCCCTTTCCCCCATTCTTCACCCCTTTCTGCCCCCTTTCCCCCATTCCTGACCCGTTCCTGCCCCATTTACCCCGTTCCTGCCCCCTTTCCCCCATTCCTGCCCCATTTCGTCCCATTTCCCCATTCCTGCCCCATTTCTCACCCCTTTCTGCCCCATTTCCCCATTCCTGACCCCATTCCTGCCCCATTCCTGACCCCTTTCCCCTTGCTGCAGTGGGGTGCAGGGCTCCCAGCAGGCTCTGGTGGGGCCGGGGGCAGTTGCCAGCCCACCCTGGAGCTCAGGTGTGCCCAGGGTTTGTGCTTCCATCCCCATAACCACCTTTCGACCCCTTCCTTCCCCATTCCCCACTCCTGGCCCCATTCCTGACCCCTTCCTGCCCCATTTCCCCACTCCTGACCCCTTTCTGCCCCCTTTCTGCCCCTTTCCCCCACTCCTGACCCCTTTCTGCCCCTTTCCCCCAGCGCCGCCGGGACCCCGGGGCCGACTCCCCCTCGGACGACTCCGGGAGCTCCTCGGACACCTCGGACGATGAGGAGGAGGGGCCGGACCGGGTGCAGTGCATGCCCTCGTGAGCCCCAAACCCCAATCCCCCAAAAAAACCCCCAAACCCCACCCGGGGGGGCCCCACCCCACTAACACTTGGAGCTTTGTATTGACCCTGTTCAGCCCCCCCAAGTTTTCCCCTTTTTTGGGGTCCCCTTCCCCTTTTTCCCCCTTTTTCCCTCCTTTTTGGGGTCCCCTCCCTCTTTTTTCCCTTTTTTGGGGTCCCCCCTCAATTTGGGGGGGTCCAGGGGGGATTTTTTACTGCCCCCCTTCCCCCTCAGTTTTTTTGGGACCCCTTTCCCACCCCTCAAGCTCTTCAAGCGCCCCCTTTTTGGGGAGGGGGGGTCCCACCCCTTTTTCCTCATTTTCCCTCTTTTTTCCTCATTTTCCCTCTTTTTTCCTCATTTTTCTCCCCTTTTTCCTCATTTTTCTCCCCTTTTTCCTCATTTTTCCCACCTTTTTCCTGCTTTTTGCTCTTTTTTTCTCCCTTTCCTCCCTCCATTTTCCCCCTTTTTTCTTTTCTCCCCATTTTTCTTTCTCCCCTTTCCCTCCCCCCATTTTTTTCCTTTTTTCCCCCATTTTTTCCTCCCCTTTATTCTCTTATTTTCTCCCTTTCCCCCACACTTTTCCCTGGTTTTCCACCATTTCCCCCCACTTTTTTTTCCTCTTATTTCCCCCATTTTCCCCCTACCATTCACCCCCTTTTTTCCCATTTTTTCCCATTTTTTCCCCATTTTTCCCCATTTTCCCAGGGGGGTCTCCCTCCCTCTGTACATAGCCGTGATTTGCACTTGGTTTGGCCCCTTTTGCCCCCCCAAAAACCCCCAAACCCCCCAAAAACCCCTTTAATTTCCCATTTCTTTTCTCGGGGGAGGGGTTCAGGGGGGTTTTTTTGGGGGGAAACCCCCAAAATTTCCCTGTTTAGAGGCCTAATTTTATATTGTATTAAAAACCAAATGGGCCCGGGAGTTCTCCCTGGCAGAGCTGTAAAAGTTGGGATATATATTATATATAAATGCAATAAAAACCGACTCAACGAGCCCCAGACTCCCCAAAATTTCTCTCCCACCCCCCCCCGAACATTTCCCCTTTATTTTTTGCCCGTTTTCCCCGGATTTTCCCCCAAAAACCCTCGCACAGAGCAGCTTTTTTCCATCTTTATCAATACACAGTCAGCACGGTCTGGGGGGGGAGGGAGGGGAGGTGGTCCCTGTGACCCCAAAATTCAGGGTTGGGGGTCCCCAATACTTTTAACCCCCCCAAATTGGGGTGGGGGGGGTGGGCCCATTTTTAATGCCCCCCCCTCAACTTACCCACACTGGGGGGGGTCCCCATCCCTCCCCCCCAATTCGAGGCCTTTTCGGGGTGGGGGTCCCATGGGAATTTCCTCCCCTCCCCCCAATTCTCCCCTCCCCCATTTGGGGGGGGGGTTTAAGCCCCTCCCCCAGGGGGGGAAATTGGGGAGGGGGCTCTGGGGGGGCGGGGGCTCCTCCTGCCGCTCAGGCCTTTTTCGGGGGGGGGGCCAGTTTGATGATCTCCTCCTCCGAGGGCTGCCGGATGATGTCTGGGGGGACACGGGGGTCAGGGGGGTCTGGGGGTGTCCCTGGGGGTGTCCCCTGCCCCCCGCGAGGGTCCCCAACCCTCCCTGGGTGTCCCCAACCCTCCCTGGGTGTCCCCAATCCTCTCTGGGGGTCCCCAACCCTCCCTGGGGGTCCCCAACCCCTCCTGCGTGTCCCCAACCCCTCCTGGGTGTCCCCAACCCCTGCTGGGTGTCCCCAACCCCTCCTGGGGGTCCCCAACCTTTCCCGGGGGTCTTTTCCCCCCTTGGGGTCCCCAACCCTTCTTAGGGGGGTCCCCGTCCCTCCCCAGGGGTGACTGGGGAAGGGTCGCTGTCCCTGCTTGGGGACAATGACAGTTCCTGTCCCTGGGGGTGCCTGGCTGTCCCTGTCCCTGTCCCTGTCCCCAGCCCCGGCTGTCCCTGCGTGTCCCCATCCCTGGCTGTCCCTGTCCCAGGCTATCCCTGCCTGTCCCTGTCCCGGTCTGTCCCGGGTCCTGTCCCCACTTGTCCCCGTCCCCATCCCCGCCTGTCCCTGTCCCTGGCTGTTCCTGGGTGTCCCCATCTCCGGCTGTGCCTGTCCCTATCCCCGCACTGTCCCCATCCCCACCTGTCCCTGTCCCCATCCCTGTCCCTGTCCCCGTCCCCCCTATCCCTGTCCCTGTCCCCCCTATCCGTGTCCCTATCCCTGTCCCCATCCCCGTCCCCATCCCCCCCCGCCCCGTCCCCATCCCTCTTCCCGGCCCC